CACAGAATAGCTAGATCTAATAATTGTAAGAAGTCAGGGATCGATTTGACACTGTATCGATGTTATAAACAGAACCCCCTTCTAAACTGATAAAAAAAATTATTTACATTATTTACATGCAGACTATTGTCTTCATCTTTGTTTTTGTTATGACAATATTTTGACTGTTGTGCAATCCAGCCTTCATTAGGTGTATGTCAATAACAACAAAGATGAGGACAAAACTGAATGTAAATATTAGCTCTTCATTCGATAAATTCAAATAGAAAAAAATGAATCAATATTTTTCAACTCTGACAAGTGTTATGGCTTAAGAGAGGTCTAAAAGTATTTTCAAATAACATTTTTCCAAGTGAACCACTATGTTTAAGTAGTGCCAATAAATCATACGCTTGACACCCTCAGTTCCAAATTAACAATATCTTATTGAAATAAGTGCTTCCATATTTAATAAAGATTACTTAATCTGGCACAAGGCCATGATATTTATGCGCACAAATCATCACTCTGTAATGAGTGCTATATTTACTAAGTTTATTTTTGGTTGAGGTAGACACATTGAAAATCAAACATGCTTAAAAGGCATTTGAGAAATATGATTGATAATAATTATGTTAGGGCAGTTAAGCTGTGTCTGGCATAAGGATATGTCAATGAAGTGTTCATTGAAGTTTGAATTACAAAGTTGGTTGCCCTGTCAGCAGAGCCAAGAATATGCCAAATGTATCCATGGCAGAGGGATAATGCTCTGCAAAAGGGACCTCGTAACAAGTAAATGCTTATAGACTCAAAAAAAAAAAAGACAAACTGTAAGAATCGTAAAAAAAAAAAAAATCCATTATTTACCTTCAGATGCAATTAATAAATAAAAAATGCCTTGTTATTTACTTATTTCTAAACAAAGTAGATGGCTATAAACAAACATCTTTAAAAGAAAAAAAAAACAAATATGACACTGAATAATCTAACTGTTGATATTTTGTGAAATCCAGCAACTGAACTGCCTATAAAGTTTGCCTTTTTCATATTTCCATTTTTTATTTTAGGATGTTATCAGAGAACTCCACTCTACATCGTGCTGTGTGGCTTGGATGCTGAAGAATTGAATGTGAAACCCAGAAATTTGTTTTTAGCCAAACTTTGTATTGAACGAGGAGCTAATGTTAATCACAGAGTCCCTAAGGTAAGAAGTTTGCAATTAAATGGCCAGCCTTTTTATGGACATTAGCAGGCCAGTATCTCTTTTTCTTGTTTAATTATACTCAGTAAATAAATAAAAATCAATATTTAAGATATTTATCTGATATCTCAGTTTTAAAGGCTGTATTTAAAGGTATGAATCCTCTTCTTCTCCCCACAAGCTATGGGTAAATAGCAGGACATACTGGTTTCTATAGCTTTGGATGGCAACTGTTCTACTGCAGAAAGAAATGGCAACCTACTGCAGGAAAAAATCTGCCTTGTCAGTCATGTATCAAAAGATACATGATTGCCTAAGCGTGTATCATGCATGGCACATAACTGATCCAGTAAAAAAAAAAAAAAACAAGTTGCTCAAACCAGACCAAATAATTAATAGGGCTTATGGCCAAATCTTGTTGAAAAACTGATTTCTGTATGATCACCGAAGTTGAGCAACGTTATGTGTGGTCAGTACCTAGGTGGATGACCACTTGGGAATACCAGGTGCTGTAGGCTTGGATGTGCGAGTGGTGTAATGGATAACAACCCAAAATCGGAGAGCAAGTTCCAATTCCAGTTGGGTTCGTTATATTCACTAATGCGCAAATATCCTTGGGAAAGGTATGAATCCACCTCTTCTTCCCCAGCTATGGGTTAATTAGTAGAACTTGTATCGTTAAGTAAATATCTCCCAAAAATTCTTTACTAATAATTTTCAAAAAAAATATTTACTGGCTTTAAATAACCTGCAAAAGGTTGATAAGCCATAAAAGACAAATCAATCAAATAATTAATAATATAACTGTATAATCTGAGTTTTTAATTTATTTTTGAGATCCAAATCTGCACTGCCCTGTTGAGGGGGACACCTAGGATATGCTAACAGCATTTCTTGCTGAGGTCTAAGACCAATTTCCTCAAAAAGGATCACCTACTGGGTGAATGTTTTCAAGCTTGGGTGTGAGGGACCAGTGTTTACTATCAGATTCAAGGGTAAACTCCATGAACGCCTTTCAGCATATTCTGTGTGACCAACACGTATCGGCAGGCTCATTCAAGTGAACATGTATAGGTTAACTTGCCCAGGTGTGGGCTTGACCAATGTGTATCAGGGAACTACCTCAAGTGTATACCCAACAAGGTTTGACATGTCATAAAAAGTCCCCATTCCAACCCAAATCACTAGAAGCAAATTTCTGGAAAAAATGACAATTGTTATAAAGGTGTGGTGAACCCCTACGCACTGTTGGTGTTGTGGGTGGCTACTGTAGTGCAATGACAGAATTTGAATTCATAAGATAGAAGTCATGTCTAATCATTTTTGATTTGATAACCTATTAAAAAAAACAATTTCAATGCTGAAAAGAAGAAAAAGGGAGCTTTAAAATTCTAGCCTGCATGAACCGAGGGGAACACTGTAAAAGAATTGTTTTAAAAATGATTGCACCAATGAATCATAATAATAATGAACATTTATTTATTTTGTTCCAATATCAACTGTTATTCAGTATAAATTGTATAAACGAATTTGATAAAAATATTTTTTTTTTTCTTTAGGTTTACTATGGATCTGAATTTATGGGTCCAGGAAAGTCCCCAATGGAACTTTTGATAGATTTCTACAATACAATTACACGGTACCTGGAGTGGACAAAAAGTGACAGGTAGTGGTAGGTCCAAAATTATTTTTAATACACACAGACACACTCTCAGTACAACACAAACAAAGAAGGAAAAAAAAAAAAAAAAAACTTACTATTCAATTGTTTCCCCAGACTCCCCGCCTCTTCTCTATTTTGCTCTACGCTCTTCCCTAAGGGGTGGGGGTCTTTCCTTCCACATTCTTTTCCACTTCTTTCCTTATTCTGCCACACATTTTCACTAGGTGGGTTTCCCCCTCTTCCACATTCTGCCACACCCTCTTCACTAGTGGGGTCCTCTGCTTCTGCTGTACCACTTCACAAGAGTGCTCCCCATTTTCCCCATGATCAAACTTAGAGGCACTTCTGTTGTAACCCACAACCACAGGGTGTCCTAGAGACAAAAAAAAAAAAAATTTCGTACAGTTTATTTAATTATAGGAATTTTTGTTAGTTATTTGAAATGAAAGCAAAGGATAGAAATTTAGTTGCTTAAAACTGAACGAAAATACAAATGTTAGACGTGGCGTTCAAACTAAAGAACTCTGGCAAAATTTCTTGGCATTTTTTCAGTCCCCCAAGTTAGATGTTCCTTCTTAAAGACAACAATCACGTCGCGTTGAAAATTTGATAACTATGGCATCCTGGAACAACAAATGGTTAAAACATTGATATGTCAGTTAGTCTTTTTTTTTTTTTTTTGCATTACGCCCCGAGCAAGGCGTGAAGCCATTAGGATGCAGGGGGTTGTAGAAGATTTGGAGCGAGAGCAGATAGGAGTGATAGGAGAAGGATAGTGGATAGCTCAAGGTAACTGGAGATGTCGATTGACATTACATTTGAATAGTTGGAGATTATAACTCTCAGGGAAACAGTAATAGGGAAGGGTGTTCCACAGGCGAGAGGTGCGAGATATGAAGCTATTGGAGTAGAAGAGACGGCTAGAGTAAAATATATAGTTAATTTTTTTTATATGTTAGTCATCCTATCCTACCTTGCACCAAGTCTTACATAATGCACATGCAATAAGTCTTTAGGTTCTTACATAGAAAATACTGACTTATTTAAATGGAATGTTAATATGGAACAGAAGCTATTCTGTTAATGCTGATGGTGGCAAGACTGGATCAGCCAATTAGAACAGCCTTTGATTTTTCTTGAAGCAACATCAGCCAATCGAAATTTCATAAATTGTCTTAATAATGGAATGAATCAATCTCTTTATCTCTGAACAGAATCCTGTCTGTTCCTATGAAAAAATAAAAGGAAAAATGTTCACTAAATTTTTTTTCTCTCTTTCCAATCAAAATAGTCTTTTTCTGCCTCTATCAAATATTTTTTTTTTTTTTTTTTTTTTTTTTTCACCTTTCTTTCAATTTTTGATTTCCTTCCATGAGAATTCTTCATTGAAAAGAACAAAGCAATGAACCTGAATTTAAGATATTTTTGTGTGATGTTCTATCAGAGAGAATTGTTGCTTTCATTACACTTTCTCCTGCTTCAATTACTGTCCAATTTAGTGCCAGTGTAAGAAGGCCCAGGAAAAAGGATCACATGGGATAGCATTTGATTCTGATTGGAAAAAGGTTTTGCTTGTCACTTGATGAGGGCTGGAGAATTGATAAGCCAAAACAATTCATTAACAAAAGCAAATACACAAAGAAGAAATGTGAGCATCTAAACAACGTTTGATATGTCGATGACTTTTCTCTAACTTAGACAATACATTTTTACCCATCACACATTTTAAATAAAATTTTCCAGAAATCCATTTTCACCAAAGGCCATCCATTAAAAAATTCACCAGAGGCCATCCATTAAAAAAAGAGGCCATCCATTAAAATTCACCAGAGGCCATCCATTAAAAATCCATTAAAAATTCACCAGAGGCCATCCATTAAAAATTCACCAGAGGCCATCCATTAAAAATTCACCAGAGGCCATCCATTAAAAATTCACCAGAGGCCATCCATTAAAAATTCACCAGAGGCCATCCATTAAAAATTCACCAGAGGCCATCCATTAAAAATTCACCAGAGGCCATCCATTAAAAATTCACCAGAGGCCATCCATTAAAAATTCAACTGCTGTCCTATCATCTTGAACATATAAAAATCTTTTTTTTTTTTTTTTTAATTTTTTTGCAATTTATAGTGCATGAGTAGAACTGTCCTTTTGGCAGTCAATGCCCAGGCTTTAGACACCTTCAAAAAAAAGAAAAATGAGGATGTGCAGGTGGTGTAATCTAATAGATTGGAATGAGAAATCAGAGAACAGAGTTCAAATTTCAGCTTAGTTCATTGCATTCACTTATCCTTGGGAAATGTATGAATCTATCTCCTCTCCCCAGCTATGGGTTAACTAGTAGGACTTGTATCGGAGAAAATCATTTTATTCTCAGCAAGTTATTAATGCAATATTCACATTCTAAAAAAAAAAAAAAAACGGAAAAGAATAATCCTTATAGTGCAAAAAATATGCTTTGGCTTAGGGTTGATAAGCCATAAAAAAATCAACTTCAAATAGGAGAGGAATTTTGATTATCTTGGCAGATTTTCATTTCACTTCTGGACAATGGGCCTTTTCCTCTGGCTTGAACACTTTTCTAATTCAATGTTTCGATTATTCTTTTTTTATGCAAGTGACCAGTGCTCTTTGTGATATCTTTTACCACCCGTTTATTTGTCCATTTTGCCCCAATGGCTGCCAGGTTAATATTAAATAAATAAAAATAAATAAATACAGGGTGTCCATAAAGTTCGTGTGCATTTTAAAAAATTTATACCTTTAAAGCGCACACGAACTTTATGGACACCCTGTATAAACAATCAAAGTGTGACTGACTGTGTATTTCTGTAGAGAAGAGAAAATAACATTGTTATACAACTAACTGAATACATGTCCTCCAAACAGAGAAAAGATAAATTGTCACAGTTCTCTTACCCGTCTTAGATTTTGTATAAATAACATTTTCAACAAGATCTCTAATTTATAATGTTCTTTTTTGTCATTAGGCTAAATCCGTTTGAATTTCCTACTTTGGACATAGCTACATACAGCTTAGCAAACGGAAAATAATAATTAATGCAATATTCACGTTCAAAAAAGAAAAAATTATCCTTACAGCGTAGAAAATATGCTTTGGCTTTAAATAACCTGTAAAGGGTTGATAAGCTATTAAAAAAAAAAAAAAAAAAGACAACTTCAGATAGGAGAGTAATTTTGATTATCTTGGCAGATCGCAACTTCACTTTTGGACAAAAGGCCTTTTCCACTGTCTTGAACACTTTTCTAAATCAATGTTTCAATTATTGTTGTTTTCTGCAAGTGAACAATGCTCATTGTTTTATCTTTTACCGTCCACTTGGTTGCCCACTTTTTGTGCAAGGGCTGCTGAGTTAATAATAGAAATTCAAAAGGAAAAAAAGAACAAAAAACAAATTGCATGACACTTCCACTTTCCTCCTCACTTCTCCTTTGTCTCTCTCTTTCTCTCTCTCACACACACACACACACACACACACATCATTTTTCATCTTAACAACTACAAACAAGAACTTAAAAAACTTTAATATTTATACACACTAAGAAAATATTTAATGTAAAAAACACAAAAATAAAAATATTTTATATTTCTATATTAAAACACCATTCATGCCTTTTTCTTTGTTGTGGGTTGATTCAAATTCATAGAGGGCATAGTGGAGTAATGGATAGCAGCTCAGGTTGAGGAATCTGAGAGCCGAGTTCAAATTCCAGTTGGATTGTTGGAGTTAGCTCCTCCTTAATTCCCTTATTGTTCACTAGGAGTTGCTCTCCCTACGCTATAAATACTAGACAACTTCTTGCCTCGTTCTCTTTTCTACTTTGCATTTCAGCGGACACATTTAAAAATGTGATCTCTTGTAGAGATCAGCGTTTTCACCCACTTATGGGAAAACGCCATGAAACCCACATACGTACGAACATTCACCAAAATACAAACTCTTTATGTTCACATACAAACACGAATGTTAATGTCTTTGTCACTTGTAAATTTGTTGTTTAATACATATACTTGTTGAGATATATATATATATATATATATATATATATATATATATATATGTATGTCTTGTTTGTTTCCTTTACCTCTTCGGTTAGACTCAACTTGAGTCCAGCATTGTTCTTGTAGTTGGACCTTCTTCTAGCAGGAATAAACAGCTTGTGTTGCTAATTCAGCAACACTCAAGCCCACACGGTCCTCTACAGGATCCTTTACATTCGCTTACATGCTAATACCCTTGGTAAAGGTATGAATCCTCTTCTTCTCCCCCAGCTATGGGTAAATATCAGGACAGACTGGGTTCTATAGCCTTGGGTGGCAACTGGTCTAGAAGGAATAACTCTGAATTCAAAACTGGCCTGGAGAGATAGTTGGGCTCCGTCAGGCTATCTTGCCCAAGAAACGCCACTTCTACTGTGGCTGCAATACACATGCTGTCCCTATGACCCTATGGGTCACGGGATAAAGAAAAAAAAAAAAAAGATTCAAATTCACAACAGTCTGAACATAAGAAAATATTCTTTTTTGTCACAGCGGTCAGTGAATTAGTGAAACACTCCTTCTTTTGGCATTCAATGGCAATTTCGATGTCTTTTAAAAAAACAAAAAAACAAAAGTGTAGCGGTTCCAATACATTTTTATTATGTTGGCAGATGGTTACTGTACTTTTGTATAATGTGCCTCTTTCATTGTCTTAAAAACTTTTTTGATTTAATGTTTCAATTATCTCTGTTTTCTACAAGGAACCAGTGCTCATTGCTATATCTTTTGCCTCCTGTTTGTTTGCCCATTTTGGTCCAATGGCTTCCAGATTAATAATAAATAAATATAAGCAGTATGTGTGATTGAATGTATAATGCTGTAAAGAGGAGAAAATAACATTTTATATAACAAACTGAAGACCTGTCCTACAAACAGAAAAGTTAAGTCATTTTAGCAAGAACTGTTGAAATAATTGAAATTTAGTCAGTTCATTCAATTTGCAAGAAGCCAAAGAGCCAGGAAGCTGCAATATGGAAACCTCTGATTGTAGGATGTTCTCTCTCTATTAAAAGAGCTTCATGTGTGAGTCTTCATTCATATAAATTAAAGACATGTCTTAATCTTATAGACTTAAAGATCTTGGCTTTTTCTCATAACAACCATAATAAGTACCAGCTAATGACTTGGGGAAACCTTTAAGTTGCACTACAAACGTAGGTATATGTATATTTATTTATATATACTTCTTAGCTCTGTCTAACTACATTGAGCACTATTTTGTTTACACCTTATATTAAGTGAATATTTATTCACTTATCTGTGTATGCACGCATATACAGTTGCTAATATCTAATTAATGGCTTATCTCTCTCTCTCTCTCTCTCTATATATATATATATATATATATATATATATATATATATATATAATGGACTCTCCGTTGATTTCAATGTATGGGGTTCCGACAGCCAACTACTAATTATCTGCATGCCTATGATGGCCATGACTTTTGAGGCTGGCTCGAGAATTGCACAAAAGACCACAAACAGTACAGGAGAAAGTATTGCATGCAAGTGCAGCAAGAACACTGTTAGCTGTTTTATTTTGCTTTTGTGTTTCCCGCAGTCGAATGATGCTTATTTCTTGATGATGCATTATTCATGTATAGCAGCTAGAACGATACTCTGATTTCTTCATAACTACCTCTTCAAAGTTCTTGAATGTAATGTTTACGCAAGAAAGGTTGATCTTCAGTTTATCTTTATACCTGAGCCAAAGTCTACCAACATTTCTATGATCACTATGGAGTTCACTGTAGAAAAGAACTTTTGGTATACGATCATCATTCATCCTTGCTGTATGGCCAGCCCAATGCAATTGTGATTGTACTATGATGGTCTCGATGGTGCCAAACTTGCATTTTTCAAAAAGATCGGCACTTGATCATCAAACATCAGGCCACAGATTGTACAGACAGTTTTTATGGAAGACATTTAATTGATTAGTGTGCCATAATATGTATATCAGACGTTATGAAAAGAATTTACATAAAATAAATAGACAACACTTGTCTATATTATTTAATGACACATGTATGAATATATATATATCTCCAAATGTCTTTTTGACTAAGAAAAAAAATTATATCTAACTAATCAGGTAAATTATTAGGAAATTAATCTTTCTTTGTCCATTGTAATCTGGCATCCTGTGCAAATTGAATTCATGACACTGGTCTCTGAAATTAACTTGTAAACCATCATGAACAGCCCAGTCTTGAATAGATATCTAATAGCAATTAGATATTTATTCAATACCTAACTTGCATTTGCACAAGTTCACTATAAACCACCACCCTGTGAATTGGCTTTTAAGATCCCCTTGCTAACCTGGTAGGCTGATTATTTTTTGCATATTTATTTATAGTTTTCATTTGTTTTGTTTTATCAGTTTTGGTACCTGCTGATGTGGGGAAACCATTTTTGTTTTCTTACAGGTTATCTGTGAACGAATGCTGGAATCCATACAATGACATTGTCATTGGTTTCAACAATAAAATTGTGGAAAATCTTCAGGAAATTAAAGAAACCTGTGAACAACTGATGTTCATCATTCTTGGTAGGAAAACAAGTTTGTTTTGTTTCTACTTGCACTTCTGAAAATTTAATTTTCTGAACTGAAAAAATTCCCCCCCACCTCCCAAAAGGACTTAAGGTAAAGTTCTCTTTATTTAGTGCACATCTTGCAATTTCCTACCCCCTCATGTGATGTTAAATATATTTTTGCTTTTCCCCTTCCAGTCATAAAACTGATACAACCTCTGTTCCATAATAACTGTTACGTTTTATATATGAAACTTATAAACAAATGTAACAGCTATTATGAGACAGAGGAAGTGAAGTAATACAACCTCTGTCCTATAATAGTTGTAACGTTTGCATACATATTTTCATATACACAATGTAACAGTAGTTATGGGACAAAAGTAGAAGATAATGTTTCCATAATAATACAACAAAATAGCATTAAAAATTATTTTGTTTTTTTTATGTTTTTATTTTTATGAAACAAAAGAAGCATAAAAACGACTTGTTATTTTATTTTTATGCATTTTTCTGTTTGTATGATACATGAGAAGTATTCATTTTTATGCTTTCTTGTTTTTTTGTTTTTTTATCGGTTTCATTTTTTTTTTTTTTTTTTTTTTTTTTTTTTTTGGCGTTTCATTTTTTTTTTAAAGCTTTGTTTTATGTAATTTATTTTAGTTCTTATCCCAATCTAGATCCCACCCATTTACTCTTGTAATAGTTAAATGTAACTGCCATGTCTACTCCAGCAGTTTCTTTCCCTCTTACTTGTTTTTTTATTTTTATGCATTTTCCTGTTTGTGTGATACATAAGTACTCATTTTTATGCTTTCTTGTTTTTTTTTGTTATATATATATATATATATATATATATATATATATATATATATTTTTTTTTTTTTTTTTTTTTTTTTTTTTTTAGGCCTTTTTTTTTTTTTCTTAGACGTTTCATTTTTTTTTTTTTTTTTTTTTTTTTTTTAAGCTTTTGTTTTATGTAATTTATTTTAGTTCTTATCCCAATCTAGATCCCACCCATTTACTGTTGTAATAGTTAAATGTAACTGCCATGTCTACTCCAGCAGTTTCTTTCCTCTCACTTGCTTCCCTGATAACTACAATCTATGAAAATTTTTATGAGTGGATTAGTTAATCTCATCAGTACCAATTGGTAAATTGTGACTCAATCTGTGTCAATGAACTTTAGTGATAGATCCGCATACTAATAATGGCCAATACAGTTGCCAGACTACAGTGCAACAGGTTAGCGTTACAATTATCATAAAGATCTACAACTGTTGTACATTTTTTCTTTTTTTTTTGTCTATATTTTTATTTAATTAAAAAAAATACTGCAGAATTTGAAAATACAAGACACGTGTTAACTATTGCATGACCTATAAAAGCCCCCCCCCCCAATCTCCTCTTAAGAAGAAATTGTCTTTTCACAGAGAGATAAATTTTTTTTTTGTCTTTTTCTAGCTCTTGGCGGTAATCCAAATGTCTGTGATGAAGATCATCGAACACCTCTTCACAATTTGGCCATTCGGGGTTTTGACACGGAAATGGCAAAGTTGCTGTATGAAAATGGTGGGAACCTGAATGCTCTGGATGATGACAGGAACACTCCGCTTTTGTGCCTCTCGGATATTTCGATTTGTGAGATGGACAGCAAACGCCTTGAAGACTTGTCACCTACATCGAGTGATGATACAATTGAAGACAACCTGACGATTGAAGGCATGAAGAATGAGTTCTTTCAATTCTTTATCAGGCAAAGAGACGTTGATGTATGATTCTTTTTTTCCTTTCTTTCTTGTCTTTTATGTTTAGCACTACCAATTTATGGAACTTTTTTTTTGTTTCTACAAAAGGATATCTAATGGAAAACATATCTTCTTTCTCCCCCGCTTCTTTCTCCCCCCCGCTTCTTTTCTCCCCCCGCTTCTTTCTCCCCCCGCTTCTTTTCTCCCCCCCTTCTTTCTCCCCCGCTTCTTTCTCCCCCGCTTTTTTCTCCCCCTCCCCCGCTTCTTTCTCCCCCCCCCGCTTTTTTCTCCCCGCTTCTTTCCCCCCCCCCCTTTTTTTCTCCAAAAGGAATCAAATTTGTATCTCATATTATCAGACAATGCATATTTTCTATGAAATTTCTCTAACATTCAGGTAGGTAAATGTAATTGATACTGTTTAATTAAAACCAGAGCATTTACTCAAATAAGATGTATCCCTAAAAATATAAACAGAAAATATATTAAAATATTTGTTGGATTTAATCCATTTCATATTTTATATATATATATATATATATATATATAAAAAACTGTGTTTTATCAGCAATGTCAGAAGAAAAGGTATCTTATAGCCTGACTAAAATTTGAAGGCACTGTATAAAATAATATATATATATTCTTTATGTACCATGTCCTTTCAAAGTGTAGATGATCATGGCTCTCCACAATTTCCTGCCCTGTCTCGCTGTTAATAAATTTTATCTTTTAGTTATTTCTCTTAAATCCTGTTCTGCCATGGATTTACTTAAGTTCATCAAGTATGTTACATGCTGTTATTCTCTGTCCCTCTTGCCCTCAATCTGTCCTGTGAGTATCAGATTTTCCAAGCCCTTTTTCCTCATTATGTGCCCAATAAATTTCAACTGTCTCTTCCTGATGTTGAATATAAGTTTCCTTTTATGATACCATTAATGCACAAAAAAATTTTAAATGTAATTCATGTTAAAACTGCTACAAAAAATTAAATTCTAGTTTCAAATGTTATCTAGCAAAATGAATAATCTGTTTTCTATTATAGCCAGTAGTTGGGCCATAAGTTTCCATTATTAAGGTTTTCACTGACAAAAATTGGTCCAATAATTCTGTCACCCCCATATCCCAGCCCACTCCATTAATTTACCGACACCTTACATCTTCATTAGACTCGGCCAGTTACGGTTCTCATTACTCCAGTAACGGTGGTTTTGCTGATTAACCTCTCCATTGGCGTAAAAATTTGCTGCTTCATCAGTAAACAAAATCTTAGTTGAAAAGTTTGCATCCTCGTTCACTTTGGTTAATGCACATTCACAGAAGTCCATGGTCCACTCTGTGTGTGTGTGTGTGTGTATATATATATATATATATATATATATATATATATATATATATTTATATATATAATATGAAAGTATTTTGTCAAAATATATTTTTTAATGACTAAAATGAAAAAATCTATTGTATATCATTTCAAACCATATTTACAGATATTGTCTTGATTGATCACAATCTGAACTATGATTTGACAAAATCAGTTATTTTTCAATATGAATTTCTATGGAGCAATGACTTGGTGAACATAAACATTGGTTAAGTGAAGGTGATGAGTTCAATCTCTATGTAAGGCATTAAAAAAAAACTGATTCTGGTTCAGTAGGAAAAGTAAACATGGCTTATTAACTGATTGGAGTTATCTCCCTTTGCATGTATATAGCCCAATAAAAATGATCAACTCTCTTGAATTGATAGATCGTGACAGCTATTAAGAAGATGTGATTAAATATACTTTAATGTTAAAAAAAAAATTATTCAGTATTATTATCGTTTAGGTAATAAGCATTATAACATAGCACAAATAGTTATATTGTGGAAAAAGGATTTTTCCATTATATATGCATTTTTTTTTTCTTTTTTTTTTTTTTATGTATTTATGTTTATTTTTTTAACTTTTATCAAAAACGATATTCTTGTACATGTAGTTATGGATAATATTATACATTAATTACTCATTTTTTAATTAAGAACTATTTGTGCTCAGTTGTTGACATTAATAGCTATCTGTTGATGTGTTAAAATTTTGGAATAATGCAATAATGAAAATTTAAATTTTGTCTCTCTGATAGATGTCGCAATCTGTAAATAAACTTTTGGTGTTTTTTTTTTTTTTTTTTTTTTACAACACATCAACAATTGTTGGGTTATTTAATGTTGAAATATATATATATATATATATATATATATATATATATATATATATATATATATATATATTTATATATACTTGAATCTATAGGTAATTTTTATCCGTGGTTATATAGATATATAAAAAAAAAATTGCTTGTATTTGAGTATATAAATGGAGACAGTGGAGTAATAGCAGCTCAGATCAAGAAATCAGAAAGCCAAGTTTAAATTCTAGTTAAGTTTGTTATATTCACTTATGCGCAAATACCCTTGGGAATTTGAATCCTTGTCTTTTCCTCCTCCCCGCCACAGCTATGGGTTTATAGTAACACAGACCGGGTCCTATAGCTTTGAGTAAATCTAGGAGAAGGACAACTTTGAATTCCAAAATCTGACTATGGTTTAAATAGCCTCACCAACCTGCAACTGTCCAAGCGTGGTGTGTATAGCTACACCCCTGAAGACATGGTCAATCAGGGTGGGGTTCCTCTAAGGAGTGAGAAGGCCATGGAACTGGATCTGTCCTGAGCTTTCATCCCTGCTACCAATTGGTAAATGTTAAAATTGGATATGCAAGCATTGAGCTAAAAAGTAGCACCTCTGGTGGGGTTGTCTTATCCCTCTGCAGGGATGCAGTTGGTGTATTCTAGGCCAGTGCTTCTCAAACTATATGATGTAGTGAACCAGCATTTTTTTTTTCTCAATGTCACATAGCTGAATATTTTGTGATAATATTAAATTATACCAGAAATGATATATATATAATGAATATAATAAATGTTGACTATTTCTTATCTTCCATTTATTTTTGCAAAACATATAAAAAGTAATAAAAACAAATAAGTATTTTATTAATATAGCGAAGAAAATGGCAACTTGCCTCGTCAAACCAAGCGATAGCGACTCGGATGTATCCTATGACAGAAAAGAAAATTACTTACCAAAAAAAAAGGGGGCACACATTCTGCATGACACGCTGAAGACATGCCCTTTTTTTTTTTTTTTTTTTTTTTTTTTGGTAAGTAATTTTCAGTAAGCGTTCTGAAAGCAAAGGAAATGTTTGTAAGTTCAAACTTGAATATCAGGGGCAGAAAGAAATGCCGAAAACTCTATTCACAGGTACTATCTCTCAAATCTCGATGCATGTAACCAGTCAGAAAAATAACTCATTCTCCGATGAACACGGTAGACAAAATACATCAGTTTTGCTCGATTTGAGAACATGAAATGCTTTTATCATCAGAGCAGTTTTTTCATTTGTCGACAACTAGGAGAGGATGCCAAATATTTTGCATATCAAAATACTTTTATAGAGACTCCTGTGATGGACTTCTTGTTTTTAATCTAAATATTCCATCTTCAGCATGTCATGTGGAATGTGTGTGCCCCCCCCCTTTTTTTTTTGTTAAGTAATTTTCTTTTCCGTCATAGGATACACGCAGCATGCTGTCACTTGGTTTGACGAGGTAAATTGCAATTTTCTCCACTATAATTAACACAAAAGCAAAAATGATATAACCTTAATCTTTACAAATGATTCCTTAGCATGGCCTGGACACTGGCTGCGTACCAGTAGCTGATGGTCTGCAGACTGGCACTGATCAATGGACCACCACTTTGAGTAGCATAGTTCTAGGCCCTTGCTGATAAAGCAGGAACAAAGGATTTTGTTCAAACTTTCCAGGAAGATACTAAATATAATAAACACTCGACAGTTGTAGAATAGAATGGCGGAAATGTAACTATAACAACTGAGATGACACTAGTTTAAATAAAACAATATATAAATGAACATTTTATTTTATTCCTTTGTAGCTAAATGTCAGGAATCGAGAGGGCCAAACGGCACTGTTTCATTGCATGCTTCGAGGTGACCCCAACAGTTGTTACCAGTTGTTGAAAAGAGGTGCAGACCCTTCTATCCGAGCAACTGTAATGCAGAATCCTAAACGAAAACGGTAAGAAAAATCCCATCTTTTTTTGGTACTATTTAAAAAAAAAAAATAATATTTTGGTAGGTTTAGGATTTTAGATTAGCAATGTTTTCATTAGACCTTCTTCTACACACATTTGTCAGAAAGAAAAAAAATTTTTTTTTTTTTTTATTTCTTAAATGAGAAATGGATTATTGTTTGTACTACTAATGTGTCCCTTTTTCCCCACTATTTGTAATCTTATGCAGTCGTCAATGACTTAAGCACAATTTTAAACTTGTTTAGTTTTACAGCATATCATCCTTGATGGGTTATTTAATGCCAACAAGATTTTTATTACTGGTAATGTTTTCCTTCAGAAATGTATTGCTGGTAATCTGTTTTCCTTCAGAAATGTATTGCTGGTAATCTGTTTTCCTTCAAAAATATATTGCTAGTATTAAAACCTATTTTTACACATTCATAGTGTTTTGAATCTAGTTTAGGGTGTAACTATTTTCCCATAGTTGGGACCCTAACAGATGCTACCACCCTAGGTCAGTGTGGACCTGGGAACACCAACAATTAAGAGGTGGTTCCACACTCTTCAAAACCTCCTGATCAGAGGCCTTGTTGTTGGACGTAGCTTGTTTTACCCAGGACATGGATGTAGTTTATCATCATACTCAGGATGGTTTAAACTTGACATTTGTAAATAAAAACAAAGTACAGATCTGGTAACTATTTCAGAAGTCAGAAATCAATTTTTCACTGTATTTATATTATTAATAGGAAGGGGTACTTCAACATGGTGTAATGGTTAACAAGCTTGTCTTGTCAGATCAATTACAACTAAGAAAATGAGTTTGACCCTCCCTGGGTGCTCCACACTTTCAACCTTGTGCCACATCTAAGCTATACTTAGAAAATCAAGGTTACTTCAATGTGGTGTAATGGTTATCAAGCTTGTCTCACTGGATCAGTTACAATTGAGTAGTTCAATCCTTGGTAAAAATCAGTATTTTTTGATTATGAGAAAATGCCAATACTTGGGAAAGGTGTAATGAAAGCTAATCTACAAAAATTAATTTTCTTCTAATTTTTTCCGTATTTTTATGAGTGGCTGCTATACATGCAGTTCCCCTATGACACAAATACATTCCAGAACTCATAACTCATGTGATGAAACTTTTTTAATAAAAACGGTAGAAATTCATCTCCAGATTTTTATTTCCTTGGTGGTTGTCATCTGCTGTTTTTAAAGGTCATTGTTAGATAGTTTGATTTTGGAAAGGTGGGGGTTCATAAAAGTGACAGTTCATTGAAATTCTCTTCACCCAATTTTAACAATTCATTCCAAAATAAAAATAGTCTAATTTGGTTTCCAAATACATAATGGTTTGAAGATTTAATATTTATTTTAAAAAAGCTAAAATATTGAAGAATTTCAACCGACACAATTACAATTTAAGAAATAATTTGGTCCGATTTATTTTTCTTCTCTTTTTGGTTTCAGGAAGTTATCTCCCTTGTTTTCCATGTTTCTTTCCATCTCGGCGCAGAAGGCACTCTGTTGGCTTAACAGCTATCGACACCTGATTGCTGTGCCCAAAAAATTCTACCACCTCGTTGATTCAGGTTAGTACCTTTTTTTTCTGTCTGTGTGTGTGTTCACCTTCATTTTCTGACTTAGACTAATTTTCCAGAAGTAATTCAATGACTTCCATTATATCTATATAAATATATAGTTAAACATGTTCTTATCAAACATTCAACTAGCAGCAATACAAATGTCAAACAGGCCATTCTCAGGTGGAATTCAATTTCAGAATCCAATTTAATTTCTGAGCATATGGCCTGATGATTTAAGGTTTTAATCAAATTTATTTTCAGTGGTTTAGAACAGAATGTATGCACTGGGTATATAAACCCATAAAGGTTGGTTTCCAGTGTGTTTAGTATAGGGCAATGGTTCCCAACTGATTTGGGGGTCATGTCCCCCACTTTTGTATTTCTAAAATTCTGGTGCCCCCCTGTAATATTTAATGCTTACATATTCAAAATTTTATTGCAATTCACGTGAAGAAAACACACTGAATGCTCACACTCGCTGATTAGCCGACAAAACGTGAGCTTTTCCAGCGACATGCATCACGCCCCCTCTCCTTTGTTGACCGAGACAATTTTTACTGCATGAAGGAAGCAAACTGAATGCTCACATGCACTGAATGGCTGACGTAACATGGTCTTTTCCAGTGACATGCATCACACCCTCTGCTTTGTTGATCAAAACACGTGAGTTTGGGGAGATGGGAAATACCCTGTATGTCAATTACACATGTACGTACATACACACAAAATATTTCTATGTATGCATACTGTATATGCATTGTATGTATTAACACACATTAACATTAGTACTCTCACTCAAACTCACGAGAAAACAATTCACTGTTAATAACTTATTCTCAAATTGCCCCCTTATTCTGTTGGTATAGTAAGCTGAAGGGTGAACATCCTACACATGCCCCACCGGTGGGACATGTACCCCATATCGGGAACCATTGGTATAGAGTATTCTGCTTATGTTGCCTGTACCACTTTCTCTTTCTGCTACACCCCATGAGCACCATCTACAGAATTACTACCCTACCCCAGCAAACAATGTAGTCGCTTATATAGTAAGCAGTTGGTGTTGATACATTTGCATAGGTGGGATGTCCATTTCATCAAATCACGGTCAATGCAAACGCACACCTCTAATGCCTTAAGCCAGATTTCCTGTTACAGCTGCAACAACTCAAACACAATTTGTACTAAGGTAAGCCGTGCTCTGCGTTACTGCATCCAGAAATTCTATATTTGATCTGTGTACGATGACATCAAGAAAAGGAAGGACACCATTGTTTTTCTTTTCCCATGTGAAATTCAACACCAGGTGCAATGTATTCAGTTCTTCATGGAAAACCTCCAGCCTTAACCTCATTTTCAAACACACAAAACATGTCATCCACATATCTAACATAATATATGGGTCATTTAATACAAACAAGTAGATGTTGCTTGGGAAAAAAGAAGAAAAAAAAGAAGACAACAAATATGTTAGTCATTGTCATCCGTAAAGGTATACTCATTGATATCCCATCTATCTGCCTATACATGAGCTTTAAAGCTAAATTTCATGGATATGATGGCAAACTCTACCAATTCCATATAGACAGTTTCAGGAATACATGGTGGGAGACAAATTACTACAGGACAATGTATCCACGCAAATATCAATAGTTTGTTCCAATGGTACACAGAAAGAAAAAATTACTAGTATCAAATGAATACATAAATTTATCCTCAATGTTGAAAGGACAGTTCTTCATATAGTTGGCTAAAGCAAATGAGTATTTAATACAATTACTCTTATACTCCAGTGCAGGCAATTACTTTGTCAACTTGTGCTGCACCGATCCTACCATAGATAAAATTAGACGCAAAGCAACATTATCTTTGAGTTTTGAGTAACCCAGACAATCATGTTTTTTTTTAAATTCATCTTGTTTGTATAGAAAAAATTTACATCTGCCTTGTCAAAATTCAGTTGCAAATTAGAACAACATTGTGTGATAAACATAAATTAGTTCTTTTTTTAAGTGGACATAAATGATTAAAAAATCTCATAATTTTAATAGAATTTTATCATTTTAGGCCTACCAACATTAGTTATGATCTTATTTCCTGCAGCATTCGTAGTAACCATTGTTGTTGTCTGGCAATCTACATTACTACAAAATTAGTCTACCAGTGCCTCCCTGCCAAAAAAAAAAAAAAATGAGATTATCTATCTAAATCTAATTAGATTTTCTTAAAACTGTACCAAATTATTTAAACAAGTGAAAAAATTAGTTTGCTGAATAAATTTTTTTTATTGTTATTAATTAGACAATTATTCGAGTTTTTTTTTTTTTTTTTTATGTCGTTGTATCCAGAGTAGAAAATTAAAATATGCTTAACATAATAATGAAAAGAATTTCAGAAAATAGACATCTTGTTGAAAATTTTGTTAGTACAGAAATTTTAGAGTGGTAAGAAAACTTCCATGACATTTTTTTAACTACTTTCTGTCTGTAGGATAAGCGTTCAGTTGAGAAATTCAAGCAAATTAAAATTCTGTTTTCTTTCTTTTTACAGGATTTTTCACAACTGCTGATGTTCTATCAGAACTTCAAGAGCTCCTAAGAGAAGATTTTCCAGAGTTTGTCCACCTTAATTCAATTGCCAAACAACTCCTCCACATGTTGTTTGGCCAAACAACAGCCTCGTTAAAACAGTTAACCACTCGGGTAATCTTTGAGGAATATTTTCGTAATAACATTCGGCGGATAGCTACACTCTTGTCCGACGAAACTAGGCTGATCTATGAAAACATGTCCGACATTTGTGACCATGACATTTACGAAGAGTTTGTGACCATGGTCCTTAACAAGGAACTTCTTGGACGCTTCATCAGACATTTCTCTCTCCCTTACGATTCTCTTTTAAACTTTGAGACAGAACTCTTGCTGCAAAGAATGGTTGTGCTCTTCTCTTCCTTCCAAGTTGGCACCATGAGTCTGTTGTTTGAGCGACAAATTCCTTACAACAGCTCCAGCGATGACTCAGATCTCTTTGCCAATGAAGAGGAAGGTGATTCTGATCTGGAATATTGGTAA